TTTGGTCTGTTAAAACAGCCAGCAAGTAAGTGCTGATTTAATTAAACTGTTTGATAAAACTGGGAGTTTTGATTCATCTCTACCTAAATAGGGCAGAACAATAGCAATGTGACATGATGCTTTAGGCACCCTGCTCCAACGCAGGACAGTTGCCCACCTCCCTTGCCTCGACCCAAAACAGGTAGTGATTTTTTATACCCGATGTACTAGATGACTCCCAAGTTCAGCAAGGATTTTCCAGGGTGAAAAAGTTGTCTAGTACAACGGAAAATATGGTATCTACGGGGTAATTCTTAAAAAAGTATTCTTGTAACCCAGAGATCTCATTAGGATCCACTAGAGGTCGCCCAAGCTGTATTTTGGTTTTTGTTCCAGGTGTTTGAACAAATGAAAGACCGGCTCAGCAATCCCTTCCTTACGAAGAAAAGTCCCAAGCTCTTAGAAAGTTCTATAATCCAAACAGTTCAGCAGATTCCAGGAGTCGGGAAAGCGAAAGCCTTGCTTCTCCTGGAACGCTTTCGGAACCTCCATCAGCTCTGCAATGCGTCCGTTTCAGATCTCGAAGAGGTCGTCGGCCGCTCTCTGGCACAACAAATCCATACTTTCTTCACAGGGTGATCTCAGCTTGTTGCAAATAGAAACGAGCATCTTGAAAGGGGTCGTTCCCAAATAGGATGGCTCCTTTGCACAGCGTCGTTGGATTTCTCATAAAACACTGGTGGAGGATCTCAAATTGCACCCGAGGAACAAAATAGTCTGCCCCTGTTTCATTGTACATATATTTATTCTGTGCATATTTGACGTGGACTTCATAAAGTCGTGTATAGCATTGGGAAAGACCGCATGGCAGTTCCTACATGGCTCATACTGAAGGATATTTGCAGCCCATCTCTGCAGCATCCTATGCAGAAGAACCAAAACAATATATCCTGTAAGGAGACCAAGTTTTAACTTTAAAATTCCTCATTTTAGACACTTATATGAAAGGATGGTTATACCTTCCTGAATGTTGTTAAAGTATTAATAGAGCATTCCAGTAGTAATGGAGATAACTACGGATTGTTCAGGGTGGAAGTCAGCATATAAAAACCAAGGACATATCGTGACTCATGTGTAAAATATGCTGCTTTCCTGGTCTAAAATAAATGTTTACTGCCTCGGAAATCTTTGTGAATGACATTTTATTGTCACGTTGCTATTTGCATACCTATACAAAAATACCTGAATGTAAAATGGTTGTTGGAATCATGAGGCTTAAATTTTGCATAGTAATAAGCAGTAAAAAA